CCCCCAATTTTTTTTTTTTTTTTTTTTCCAAAAACATCAGCCTTAAAGACTAGGAGGTTGTAAACCAGGGCGGTGGTGACGTTGGTTGATGTTGATTTTATTTTTCTCCGGAGAGCTAAAGTTGAGCACGCTGAAGGTCATCCCGCCTGCGTTTGCATCACCTCCTAGCTACCATGGAAAGTTATGCAAATGAAGTGTGAACGGTTACGGATGACACTGGAAAATAAACTGTCCAAAAATGTCAATAAAAATGGAAAATCTTTGTGTACCCGCCTGTCTTAATGTCATTGCATATTTGGAGGTCGGGGGCAGCAGTTAAAGCTTTTAGTGGGCAACTTCAGAAATATTAAAGCCTTTAGTTTGAAATCTTAACTACCTTACGATACATGTTCAGGCAAATCAAATTTTTTTTTTCAATGTTCTTTTAAATTTTCTTTTTTAGGGCATCGGCGGAGGTGCAATAGCTTCAGAAAACAAAAACAAATTTGAACCTGCTGAAAGAAATCAAAAATCGAACAATACATATTTTTTTATTTTATTTCGCTCACTTATAAATGAGGACCTTCAACTGGATTTAAAAGCATATGGAAAATTTGCTGCATAGCTGTCATTTCTCTTCAAGTCAAACGTGTCAAATGTTTTCGTCCTTCAAGGCGTCCCGTCGACATAAAAATGGAAAATCTTTGTGTACCCGCCTGTCTTAATGTCATTGCATATTTGGAGGTCGGGGGCAGCAGTTAAAGCTTTTAGTGGGCAACTTCAGAAATATTAAAGCCTTTAGTTTGAAATCTTAACTACCTTACGATACATGTTCAGGCAAATCAAATTTTTTTTTTCAATGTTCTTTTAAATTTTCTTTTTTAGGGCATCGGCGGAGGTGCAATAGCTTCAGAAAACAAAAACAAATTTGAACCTGCTGAAAGAAATCAAAAATCGAACAATACATATTTTTTTATTTTATTTCGCTCACTTATAAATGAGGACCTTCAACTGGATTTAAAAGCATATGGAAAATTTGCTGCATAGCTGTCATTTCTCTTCAAGTCAAACGTGTCAAATGTTTTCGTCCTTCAAGGCGTCCCGTCGAAATAAAAATGGAAAATCTTTGTGTACCCGCCTGTCTTAATGTCATTGCATATTTGGAGGTCGGGGGCAGCAGTTAAAGCTTTTAGTGGGCAACTTCAGAAATATTAAAGCCTTTAGTTTGAAATCTTAACTACCTTACGATACATGTTCAGGCAAATCAAATTTTTTTTTTCAATGTTCTTTTAAATTTTCTTTTTTAGGGCATCGGCGGAGGTGCAATAGCTTCAGAAAACAAAAACAAATTTGAACCTGCTGAAAGAAATCAAAAATCGAACAATACATATTTTTTTATTTTATTTCGCTCACTTATAAATGAGGACCTTCAACTGGATTTAAAAGCATATGGAAAATTTGCTGCATAGCTGTCATTTCTCTTCAAGTCAAACGTGTCAAATGTTTTCGTCCTTCAAGGCGTCCCGTCGACGTCTCAAAATTGGAGCAAGTTTTACGCATGCGCAGTAACCCGCAACGCTGAACTTGCCAACAAAGCTAACCAGAGCAGAAAGCTAACGCGACTGCGTTTAAAAAAAAAATGTGTAAAGTCCGAATTTTGAGAACGTTGATGAAGCAGCGACTAAACGTGGCTGTCGATGAGATATTTGAACTGTTTGAGAGAACCATAGCGGAGTACGAGGAGGAGCTTTGTCGGACCAAAGAGGAAAAAGAGCGACAAGGCGAACTACTGCACGCTGTTCTTAAACCTCAAGTTCTACTACACAGAGCAGGTTGGTTAACTATAGTTCTCTGCTCACATGTTCAGTGACTCTGTATATATTTTATACGGCACAGTCAAAAACGCTTAATGTACGTGTACAAAAGCTTAACGTGGCCTTAACCTTCGAAAAATACGACCAATCACCGAAATTCACATGCCCAACATCATCTACGTCCACTTCATCCTCTGAAAAGATCGAATCGAGCCTAATAATGCTTGATGAACAAAACGGTGCAAATGTTTTCTTTTGATGAAACACAAAAGATATTCAGTTTGCCTTGATGAAGAACCACAGAAATTAGAATACCTTTGCTAGGCTGAAATCACAGTTTGGATCATTTTTAGTTCATGGCTCTAAATGATTCATTAATTATCAAAATAGTTGTCTGTTGATTTGACCATCAATTAATTGTTGACCAATAGATGTAATTGCGACACCGCTGGTTTGTATTGGTATTAGTATTAGTTTTAGTTTTTTGTTTTTTTTAAATGGAGTTTTTCCTTCATCAGTATGACTGTACAGCAAGACCAAAGTAAATATCTGCATTTAAAATGAGTCCTGGCAAAGACGAAATCGGAGAATATTTTCGCTTCAATTATAGTTACTTTTAGATTGTTTTTATAAATCTAAGATGCAATTTCAGTTATCGTTTTTTTTTAATCCCATCAACGAAAGTGTTTTTTCACTTTTAGTTGTACTTATTTTGTCAGTTTTTGTGAGCTATTACTATCTTGATCCCTAATGAATATTAATATTTTGGCCCAGCAATAACCTGAAATTTGTTCCAAAATTCTAGTCATCCCAACATCCCATCTGCATTTGCTTCCCTCGTCTGGCGAAGACATTCAGCAGATGTCGGCGGATAGTCAAGAAGAAAAGCAGCAGGAGGAGGAGACGGCAGAGCCCCCCCACATTAAGAAAGAGGAGGATGGAGAGTCGCTTCAATGCCCGAAAGACGATGCTGATATCAACACGTTCGTATGGACTGGTGTCCACGTGAAGTGCGAAGTTGATGAAGGTCAATCGTCACAGCTTCGTCACACTCCGCATGAGAATTTAAGTCAACGCGCGATAACAGAAAGTGATGGAGTACTCTGTGAAGCGTCACAGACAGGCTACATTGCTCCACTCTCAGATATGGATGACGTGTCAAACTCCTCTGACACTGATCACAGCGACACCGAACCTTTGGAGACTCAAAACAAATCGAAAGGCCGTTTGACGCATCACGCTGTCCGCAATAAATTCAACTGCTCTCAATGTGAGAAAACGTTTGCCAACAAAAGAGCGTTGAAAAGTCACGCGGTATCGCACATGGGAGTGAAACCTTTCGCTTGCTCCCTTTGCGAGAAAAGATTCTCCTTCAAACGGAATGTCAAAAGACACATGAGAAGGCATACGGGGGAGAAACCCTTTACATGCTCTGTTTGCGCGCGAAGGTTTCACGACAAAGATGACATGAAGACACACATGACGATACACACTGGTGTGAAACCTTTCCCGTGCGCGGTTTGCGGCAAAACGTTTTCTCGTCAGTCGTATTTGCGGACGCACATAAGAACGCACACCGGGGAGAAGCCCTTTACGTGCGCAGTTTGTGCGAAGCGCTTCGCTCGTACGACGTCGCTCAGAAGACATGCGAGGAAACACTCGGCGGAGAAACCTCTCGGTTGCTCAGGTGAACGCATGACCCAACAGAAGCTGACGGGGAATACTTGAACTACTCCGAATGTGTCAAAATGTTTTGAAAACACCTGTGAGGACGGGCACTGAGAAACAATGGGGGAAATGGTAGGGCTGAAGCATTTGAAAATGAAAACCCAATAATTGTGGGTTTTTTGTTGTTGTTGTTGTTGTTTTCAAAATTGTATTCCACTACACTGTGATTGTTGCTTTGAATTCAACAAATTGTTTCGCCCTACTATTTAAGTTGGTTAATAGTGTATGGGTTGGTTCTCTGTGGGCGGCCCAAGTACTATTATTACTCTAATTGGCTTTTTTTTTAACTTAAAAATTGGATGAGTGTTGGTTTTGTATTTGTTGCCTCATCTTTCCACACAGTAAATCATACATAGCAATAGCAGTAAACAGTAAAGTGTGTGTAATGACTTATTATTCAAGACATCCTTAGTTTTATATAAAATATCTAAATTTTTTTTTTTTTTTTACATCTTGGATTTCATGTTTTTTTTTATTAAGATTTCCAACATAGTCTATCATCAATTGCTACCCCAAGCAATTTATTTGAGTGATAATTTCTTGAAATCAAAACATTTTTTCATTATATTTTATTCGTTTTCCACAGCACCCGTTCAGAAGCTGTTGTAGGGTTATTGTTTTTTTTTTCCCTGAACTGCAAGGTGTTGTTTCATCAACAAGTTAGACATATTTTAAGACTATGGAAACATTGCTGATGCCATTCATCTATAATATAAATTAGGGCCCAGCACAGATCCCTGGGGAACCCCGTAAGTGATGTTTAATTGATTTGAGTTTTCGTTATGAAATTGTACGTATTAAAAAACTGTTATCCAAGTAACTTGTCATCCACTTGTATGCCACATTCTATAATTTGTTGTAAAATATTGTAACATATAAAATTTGTGATGATGCAGTGAATTCCACACGTTACAAAATAGGAAAGCACCCAACTGGCAAATGTGATGTGTGTGGCCAGCAAGAGACTGTTTGGCGGGTGCTCGTGGAATGCTGATCTTATGGTACGGAAAGAAGGAAATTGATAACTTTGATAACGTAACAATTGTGAAGCATAATAAACTTGCATTCAGTACTGAGAATCGACATGGAACTGCATCAACAACCAAAATTCAGAATCGGTGATTTAATGGGAACCAGATAAATAAGGATTTGCCGCTCCACACTCCGGTCCAGTAAGTGGCGCTATAATGCACCAAACGCTGGTTTGCCAACCACTAAATCAACTACGGCAGAAGAAGAACAGGATTTGAGCCAAACATTTCACGGGATCTCGAGGACCCTAATTGAGAAACGGCTTTGCTTTTATTGAGGTTTTCCTATTCTAACGGCACGTCTTTTGTCTGATAGGAAAAAAAAAACATTTCAATTGCCCCTTCCCTTCGTCAACTTAGCATACGCATTGCGAGAGGCGCTGAAATTCACGACACGGTCCATCAAGGGAGCTCGCGGGTGTTGTGTTCAAAATGTGCAAAGTGAGACTTCTGAGAACGTTGGTGAAGCAGCGACTAAACGTGGCCGTCGAAGAGATATTCGAACTGTTTGAGAGAACCATAGCGGAGTACGAGGAGGAACTTTGTCGGACTAGAGAAGAGAACGAGCGACAACGCGAACTACTTCACGCTGTTCTCGACCCTTGCATTGAACTACACAAACCAGGTTGGTTGTGAGTCGTTTGAACGAGTTGGAAAGAGGATACTGTGAATTGTTACTATGATATTAAGATTGGTTTTAGCTTCACCGATTTATTTAATTTAAAAAAGGTGGGAGCGGTATTTTATACTTTAAAGAACTTTAGTGGGGGAGCGGGCTTTTCAGAATTTCCCACAATGCTCAGCAGGTAGCGATTTTCATGGGCTAGCGGCTAACAGCGCCTTTGGTCATGCCTTGTCCTTTGCTCCTTATTGTTGGCTGTAATAGACGGAATAGGTTTCTTGGAACTTTGTCGGACTAGAGAAGAGAACGAGCGACAACGCGAACTACTTCACGCTGTTCTCGACCCTTGCGTTGAACTACACAAACCAGGTTGGTTGTGAGTCGTTTGAACGAGTTGGAAAGAGGATACTGTGAATTTTTACTATGATATTAAGATTGGTTTTAGCTTCACCGATTTATTTAATTTAAAAAAGGTGGGAGCGGTATTTTATACTTTAAAGAACTTTAGTGGGGGAGCGGGCTTTTCAGAATTTCCCACAATGCTCAGCAGGTAGCGATTTTCATGGGCTTGCGGCTAACAGCGCCTTTGGTCAATGCCTTGTCCTTTGCACTCGTGTTATTGCTGGCTGTAATAGACGGAATAGGTTTCTCTTCTCCCGAAAATCATTCCAAACCAGGCATGTGACGCCCACCCAGACGAAAAGCGAACGACGACGAGACTTTGGCTGCCCACCCATCGTTTTCATTGGAAACGAAGCTATTCGCATTCTCGCGAGCGTCGCATAAACGCAGACGAGCTCTTGTTTCCCGGGTTAATAGTTATCATGCAAAAAAATGAATCGACAACATCTGGACTGCTCCTTGTGTTGTTTGAAGGTTAATAATTTCGGAACAAATTTTGGTTCGCATGTTTGCCTTTTACTGTGTCAATTTAGCGTAGCTTCTTCATCGCTAAAGATTGTCAAAGTCCACTAAATATTGACACTTCACGGTGTATGTGTTCACAATGAAAAAAAATGAAGCATGGCCCAAACGAATGGGATCGTGGGATATGTTGGCATATTAAATGTTGAGCGTAAAGGACTAGCCCCTCTATGCAAACGTCTTTTAAGCTTGACTAAACTATTTCAACAACGTATACTAAACATGCAAAAAAAAAAAAAAAAAACGTGAAAAATAACAATATTATCCAACTGAAACAAACGGACATGATCCTGTGCCTCTCTTTGTCTTGGACAGATAAACAGAAGATGTTGAAGGAAGCGGTTCCATCTGAGGAGCCAGCAGAGCCGCCCCGCATGAAAGAGGATGGGGAGCAGCCCCAAGGTCTGGAGGAGGAGGCTGACATCCACAAAGCCATATTAACTGCCGTTGATATTCAGAGAGAAGAGGATGAAGCCCGGCCCTCCCAGCTTCATCACAGTCAAAGTGAGGAGACGTCAAGTGCATGCACAACAACAGAAGCCAATGGAGAACTCTGTGAAGACCTCCTCTCGGAACCAGACTCCCTCTTTGCTCCAATATCAGATACGGACGACATTTTGTCAAACTTGTCTGACACTGATGATAGTTGCCGGTCCCCAAAACGTTTGAAGACGAAAAAGAAGTCTAAAATCGATACGACACGTGGCGATGATTACAAGCCATTCAAAAATAGAACGAAGGGAAAATTTCAGTGCTCTGAATGTGGGAAATTTTGGAACAATCTGTCCCATTTGAAAACACACATGTTGACGCACACTGGAGAGAAACCTTTCGCTTGCTTGGTTTGCGGTAAACGATTCTCCATCAAGCAGAATATGAAGAGACACGTGGCGATTCATACGGGGGAAAAGCCTCATTCCTGTTCGATTTGCGCTAAAGGATTCTACCAGAGGTTTTACCTGGACCGACACATGCTCAGGCACTCCGACGAGAGAAACAGACCTTATAAATGTTCTGTGTGCGCAGAACGGTTCGTCCACAGCCGCGCGCTGAACGCGCACATGAAAATGCACACTGCGAAGAAGCCTTCGACCTCTATCAGCACAGATGAGATTGGTTGGTCAAGTGGTTTATAAATCAAATCGAGCTGAGTTTCGCGCAGGTTATGAATGTAAACAAACAACCGTAGTTTTCCAACAAATGAAAAAAGCTGCATGTAACTGTTTTGTTTCTTCGTTTGGGATCGTAACATTTTCTGTAATTTGCTCAGGATTCTACGTTTATTTGGATTACTGTTCCCCCCTACTGTTATATATATTTTTATTTTTGCATTGAGTGGCGGGAACTTGACATCAGTTAGTTTGACGAAAAGAGACAAGGTGTATATGGCACCAGCTTTGATTTCTTTACACTAGTCCTGAATTACAGTCTGGAAGGCAAAACTGTATACGGTAAAGATTCATGCTTTATGTTATTGTGATGCATCTAAGTATTGTTGTACGCTGTGTACAAAAAACAAAAATGTTCATTAATGATGCACGGGTGGACAATAAAAGTTGTGGAACATTGGATGACTGGTCAAGTCTTTTTGAACGAAGAAGACAAACTTTAGGAGCAGCTCCATCTACGTTCAGACTGAAAGGTGGGACGGAGCTCTGTGGTGACCAGGGGTTAACATGCAATGCTTCAAAAATAAACGTAACTCCAATGTTGTGGGGGGGGGGGTGTTATTCAACATTTTTGCCCAAAACTCGAGTGTTCCTTGAGCGACCTCACGTAAACAGGCCGGGGTTGTTAGAATACGCCTCTTTGACACAAAAATGGATGTGGAAGCGTTCTTCCTTACTGTAGGGGGCGGTAATACACCGAAAAGCTGTTTAACCATCCGCCAAATAATCTTGAGAAGAAGAAAAAAAAAAGGGTGACGTTCACGTCGCTAGGCTAAAAGTCAAGCTGTTGATTTTAATGACTGAGCTTCTATTAGCACACGAGTCTGTCGTGTTTTAGACAAACGCTCTCGCCGTTTGTCTAAAAATCTCAAGTCGAGGTTTTCCCGCGATAGCTTAGCGTGTTAAGCTAAGCGGAGAGCGGGTGTGAGTGCGTGAACATGTTAAGAGATTTGAAAAAAAGCTGACCAAAGGTGGGAACCGAAACGTTCAAGAATCCAAGTAACTTGTCATCCACTTGTATGCCACATTCTATAATTTGTTGTAAAATATTGTAACATATAAAATTTGTGATGATGCAGTGAATTCCACACGTTACAAAATAGGAAAGCACCCAACTGGCAAATGTGATGTGTGTGGCCAGCAAGAGACTGTTTGGCGGGTGCTCGTGGAATGCTGATCTTATGGTACGGAAAGAAGGAAATTGATAACTTTGATAACGTAACAATTGTGAAGCATAATAAACTTGCATTCAGTACTGAGAATCGACATGGAACTGCATCAACAACCAAAATTCAGAATCGGTGATTTAATGGGAACCAGATAAATAAGGATTTGCCGCTCCACACTCCGGTCCAGTAAGTGGCGCTATAATGCACCAAACGCTGGTTTGCCAACCACTAAATCAACTACGGCAGAAGAAGAACAGGATTTGAGCCAAACATTTCACGGGATCTCGAGGACCCTAATTGAGAAACGGCTTTGCTTTTATTGAGGTTTTCCTATTCTAACGGCACGTCTTTTGTCTGATAGGAAACAAAAGCATTTCAATTGCCCTTTCCCTTCGTCAACTTAGCATACGCATCGCTTAGAGGCGCTGAAATTCACGACACGGTCCATCAAGGGAGCTCGCGGGTGTTGTGTTCAAAATGTGCAAAGTGAGACTTCTGAGAACGTTGGTGAAGCAGCGACTAAACGTGGCCGTCGAAGAGATATTCGAACTGTTTGAGAGAACCATAGCGGAGTACGAGGAGGAACTTTGTCGGACTAGAGAAGAGAACGAGCGACAACGCGAACTACTTCACGCTGTTCTCGACCCTTGCGTTGAACTACACAAACCAGGTTGGTTGTGAGTCGTTTGAACGAGTTGGAAAGAGGATACTGTGAATTTTTACTATGATATTAAGATTGGTTTTAGCTTCACCGATTTATTTAATTAAAAAAAGGTGGGAGCGGTATTTTATACTTTAAAGAACTTTTGTGGGGGAGCGGGCTTTTCAGAATTTCCCACAATGCTCAGCAGGTAGCGATTTTCATGGGCTAGCGGCTAACAGCGCCTTTGGTCATGCCTTGTCCTTTGCTCCTTATTGTTGGCTGTAATAGACGGAATAGGTTTCTTTTCTCCCGAAAATCATTCCAAACCAGGCATGTGACGCCCACCCAGACGAAAAGCGAACGACTACGAGACTTTGGCTGCCCACCCATCGTTTTCATTGGAAACGAAGCTATTCGCATTCTCGCGAGCGTCGCATAAACGCAGACGAGCTCTTGTTTCCCGGGTTAATAGTTATCATACAAAAAATTGAATCGACAACATCTGGACTGCTCCTTGTGTTGTTTGAAGGTTCATAATTTCGGAACAAATTTTGGTTCGCATCAATTTAACGTAGCTTCTCCATTGCTACAGATTGTCAAAGTCCACTAAATATTGACACTTCACGGTGTATGTGTTCACAATGAAAAAAATGAAGCATGGCCCAAACGGATGGGATCGTGGGATATGTTGGCATATTAAATGTTGAGCGTAAAGGACTAGCCCCTCTATGCAAACGTCTTTTAAGCTTGACTAAACTATCAAACCATTTTAAAAACGTATACTAAAAATGCAAAAAAAAAAAAAAAAAAACGTGAAAAATAACAATATTATCCAACTGAAACAAACGGACATGATCCTGTGCCTCTCTTTGTCTTGGACAGATAAACAGAAGATGTTGAAGGAAGCGGTTCCATCTGAGGAGCCAGCAGAGCCGCCCCGCATGAAAGAGGATGGGGAGCAGCCCCAAGGTCTGGAGGAGGAGGCTGACATCCACAAAGCCATATTAACTGCCGTTGATATTCAGAGAGAAGAGGATGAAGCCCGGCCCTCCCAGCTTCATCACAGTCAAAGTGAGGAGACGTCAAGTGCATGCACAACAACAGAAGCCAATGGAGAACTCTGTGAAGACCTCCTCTCGGAACCAGACTCCCTCTTTGCTCCAATATCAGATACGGACGACATTTTGTCAAACTTGTCTGACACTGATGATAGTTGCCGGTCCCCAAAACGTTTGAAGACGAAAAAGAAGTCTAAAATCGATACGACACGTGGCGATGATTACAAGCCATTCAAAAACAGAACGAAGGGAAAATTTCAGTGCTCTGAATGTGGGAAATTTTGGAACAATCTGTCCCATTTGAAAACACACATGTTGACGCACACTGGAGAGAAACCTTTCGCTTGCTTGGTTTGCGGTAAACGATTCTCCATCAAGCAGAATATGAAGAGACACGTGGCGATTCATACGGGGGAAAAGCCTCATTCCTGTTCGATTTGCGCTAAAGGATTCTACCAGAGGTTTTACCTGGACCGACACATGCTCAGGCACTCCGACGAGAGAAACAGACCTTATAAATGTTCTGTGTGCGCAGAACGGTTCGTCCACAGCCGCGCGCTGAACGCGCACATGAAAATGCACACTGCGAAGAAGCCTTCGACCTCTATCAGCACAGATGAGATTGGTTGGTCAAGTGGTTTATAAATCAAATCGAGCTGAGTTTCGCGCAGGTTATGAATGTAAACAAACAACCGTAGTTTTCCAACAAATGAAAAAAGCTGCATGTAACTGTTTTGTTTCTTCGTTTGGGATCGTAACATTTTCTGTAATTTGCTCAGGATTCTACGTTTATTTGGATTACTGTTCCCCCCTACTGTTATATATATTTTTATTTTTGCATTGAGTGGCGGGAACTTGACATCAGTTAGTTTGACGAAAAGAGACAAGGTGTATATGGCACCAGCTTTGATTTCTTTACACTAGTCCTGAATTACAGTCTGGAAGGCAAAACTGTATACGGTAAGGATTCATGCTTTATGTTATTGTGATGCATCTAAGTATTGTTGTACGCTGTGTACAAAAAACAAAAATGTTCATTAATGATGCACGGGTGGACAATAAAAGTTGTGGAACATTGGATGACTGGTCAAGTCTTTTTGAACGAAGAAGACAAACTTTAGGAGCAGCTCCATCTACGTTCAGACTGAAAGGTGGGACGGAGCTCTGTGGTGACCAGGGGTTAACATGCAATGCTTCAAAAATAAACGTAACTCCAATGTTGTGGGGGGGGGGGTGTTATTCAACATTTTTGCCCAAAACTCGAGTGTTCCTTGAGCGACCTCACGTAAACAGGCCGGGGTTGTTAGAATACGCCTCTTTGACACAAAAATGGATGTGGAAGCGTTCTTCCTTACTGTAGGGGGCGGTAATACACCGAAAAGCTGTTTAACCATCCGCCAAATAATCTTGAGAAGAAGAAAAAAAAAAGGGTGACGTTCACGTCGCTAGGCTAAAAGTCAAGCTGTTGATTTTAATGACTGAGCTTCTATTAGCACACGAGTCTGTCGTGTTTTAGACAAACGCTCTCGCCGTTTGTCTAAAAATCTCAAGTCGAGGTTTTCCCGCGATAGCTTAGCGTGTTAAGCTAAGCGGAGAGCGGGTGTGAGTGCGTGAACATGTTAAAAAAAAAAAAGGGTGACGTTCACGTCGCTAGGCTAAAAGTCAAGCTGTTGATTTTAATGACTGAGCTTCTATTAGCACACGAGTCTGTCGTGTTTTAGACAAACGCTCTCGCCGTTTGTCTAAAAATCTCAAGTCGAGGTTTTCCCGCGATAGCTTAGCGTGTTAAGCTAAGCGGAGAGCGGGTGTGAGTGCGTGAACATGTTAAGAGATTTGAAAAAAAGCTGACCAAAGGTGGGAACCGAAACGTTCAAGAGTTATTTGAACAGTTTGAGAGAAGGACAGCGCCGTGCGAAGGAGGAAACTTCTGCACGCTTTTCCCCAAGCCTCGTCTTCAACTACACAAAGTAGGTTCGTATAATTATTTAACACTCGTGGTGTGCATCCCGATCTTCATTGTTACTCGACGGATCAGTAGCTGTTGACAAATGTCAAAAGTGGACTATTAACTGTGTAAATATCGTGTTTAAATGAGCCGCCGTTTGGAGGGGGGGGACCAATCAGGTGGTCTCGCAAAGTGGGGCTGCGACCTACTGGGATCCGCTCACCTCCTGTCGTAGAAAAAAATTGGAATAGGCTCTTAAACTACTTAAGGTGGTTCATAGAAATACATGCATATGTATCAACAGCGAATGTAAAAATATTTCCTTGATGTAATGATATTTTCAGTCGATAGTCGGCCGTAACGAGAATTAATGGATTGACTTTTTGTTCCATGATGAAAAAATGAACACAATAGTTTTTATGATTCGTTAAATGGTCACTGGCATCCATGTTTGTTTACCGAACATCAGTGGATGAATGTGTTTCTTTTATTCAATATTAATTGTGTTATTCCATTAATCATTTCTGCCTCAGTGGACACGGTAATATACTTTTAGGGTCCTTTTAAGGTCAGCAGCTATGAGGGATTTCGCTGAGCCTGAGTGCCGTCAATGATGTCATTTAGAGTAGGGAAACCAGCTTCGTGTCAACACGATACACTGACACCCTGGTGTGCTTTCCTGGTGTCATTCAGACATGAAGCAAGAAAACGTTCCCTTTGAGCAGCAGTGCAAGTCCACCGTGAAGCAGGAGGTGCCAGGACAGCCACCCGACATTAAAGAGGAAGAGGAAGAGGCTGACGTCACTGCATTCACCTGGACCGGTGTCCACACGAAGAGTGAGGAGGACAAGGGTCATTCCTCGCAGCCTCATCCCAGTCAAAGCGAAGAGAGCAGAGGCAGCAGCTCAAGTCAAGCTGATGGAGAATTGCCGAAGACCAAGTCTAAAGGTGAACGCCCCGCTGACAAAAGCCACTTGAGCTGCTCTCAATGTGGCCGAACGTTTGCCTACAAAAGTGCTTTGAAAACGCACATGAGAACGCACAGTGGAGAGAAACCTTTTGCTTGCTCCATTTGCGGTAAAAGCTTCACCTTCAAGCAGAATCTGAGCCGACACGTGGCAATTCACACGGGAGAGAAACCGTTTTCTTGTTCCGCTTGCGAGAAGAGATTCTTAAGTAAGTTTGAACTGAGAAGACACATGAGCACACACAGCGCCAAGAATGCTTTTTCCTGTTCATTGTGCGCGCAAAGGTTTTTCCACATGTCAAAACTCAGAATACATCTGAAAACACACACCGGGAAGACAACTTTGGGTTCTAGCGGCTCCAGTCAACACATGACAACAGAAGCCGACGGAGATCTGTGTGAAGAGCCACGCTCAAAACCACACGACACAACGTCAAACTCTTCGGACTCCGATCACAGTGATGACAGCAAAGAATCTTCGGCGGCTACAAAAAAGCCGAAAGGGGATGTGACGCACGACGATGATGACAATCACTTTTACTGCCCCGTATGTGGGAAAAAATATGCCTATCAGAGTCATTTAAAAGCGCACATGATAAAGCACAGCGGGGAGAAACCTTTCGCTTGCTCAATTTGCGACAAAAGATTCACCGCTAAGCGCAGTATGACGAGACACACGGCGATGCACACGGCTGAAAAACACTACTCCTGTCCGGTCTGCGGCACGGCGTTCCCCAACGAGTGTGAAATGAAAAAACACAGGGGCACGCATGCCGTCGAGAAACATTTTCTGTGTTCCGTGTGCGCTAAAAGTTTCTCTCACAAGTCCTACCTCAGGCAACACATGAAAAGACACACCGGCGAGAAACCGTTCACGTGTTCAGTTTGCGGCCGAGGTTTCTCACACAGGTCGTATCTGAAAATTCACATGGTGACGCACACCCGGGAGAAGGCTTTTACTTGTTCAGTTTGTTCGAAAAGTTTCTCTCACAGGTCTTACCTTGGGGTTCACATGAGAATGCACACTGGGGAGAAACCATTCCCATGCCCGGTGTGCGCGAAAAGTTTCTCCCAGAGCTCGTGTCTCAGACAACACATGGTAACTCACACTGGGGAGAGACCTTTTCATTGCTCACTCTGTGCCAAAAGTTATTCTCACAGGTCACACCTCAAACAACACATGACAACGCACAGCGGGAAGAAACAGTTTACGTGCCCGGTATGTGATAAAAGTTTGTCGAGTCGTGCTTATCTGAGGAAACACTTGAAACAACACAATTCAAAGGAGCCTCCGGCCTCGAGCGGCTTGACGGCAGAAGCGGGAGGAGAGCAAGCAGATGAGAGCGTGGCTCCACTCTCCGATTTGGATGATGTGATGTCAGACGCTTCTGACGCTGATCACACGGACAAAGAAGAACCTCTAACGACGAGATAGAATGCCATACTTTAAGGGGAAGAAGAGCCTTTTGTTTTTTGTTTTTGAAATAATAATATGTTTCAAGCCGCTCCACTAATTCAATTAATTCATTAATATTGGCTTTGTGGAACATGATTTAAGCAACAAAACCCACCCGTTTTTGTTTTGTTTTTTTAATTCATTTCAGGGGTCGGTTGTTTTGCTGCTTGCTCTTGACTGAAAATGTCACATGACAAAATCAAACAAACAGGTGAGTTGTGAGGGTTTTGACCGTAAAAAAAAAAAAAAAAAAAAAATTAATTCAATTTAGTGATTGCACATGCATGAGTAGATGAAATGTACTTTCACTGTCTCAAATTTTTGGGGCAAAATGACACCATTTATGGAAACCCTGAAATGGTAAAAGAAAAATTTTAAAAAGTAACAATTGTAAACGTACATCCTGTTCTATATTTTTGATGGCAATATGTGTGGTCAATTAAATAGCGTTTTATGATCAAAACAAAATAGGAATTTAGAGTCAAGCGACTCTAGTTTTAAGAAATGTAATTACTGTATGTACTGTATGGAGTTTGCGTGTGTTGGGTGTGTGCCTTTAAGGGGTGTGGCCGAGTGACGGACATCAGGAGCTGAAGTCAGGTTGGCTGCGTAAGCCTCTGGGCACGAGTGGTGCCCTACAGCAGCTCCTTGTAAATGTTTTTTTGTTTTGTCTTTGCGTTTGACTTTTCGTCTCATTCAATAAACGGATGGAAGACTGTCATTGCTCCAGTTTTGTTTTTCATTTCACTTCAGCGATGACATATCTGAAGTTGTTGTTGCATCACACATCGGATAAATGACGAGAAGAGTTCCAAACCAAATGACTAGTTTTACCCTTACACGTAAGTCCATTAACGTTTTCACATTGTAGCAAAGGAGTCAATTCTTCAGCGTTGTCCCGTGGAAAGAGATAATTAAGCATTTGTAGAAATGTGAAGATGTAGTCACTTTTATGAGATGCTATATCTTGTAATCTATTCCAAAAAAAAAATTATGAAACTCAGAGGCTAAGAATAAAATCAGCCTGCGCTACAATCATCGTTCTGAAGGTGGCGGTAATGTATCCAAAAGCCGTTTGCCACTTCTAAATCAACTCACGAAGTACAGAAAGAAGAAAAGGGATTAAGTTAGCCAGATGTCGTTGTAAAATCCAACGCGAAAGCAATCTTTTGCCTTCATTTACTTAATGCTTCTATACCCATACAGGCAAACATATAAAATACCAACGCTTCTTGTTGAGTTTCGTCAAAGCGAACTTTGGAATTGTCCGAATTAGCGTAGCTTGCTAACAGAGAGACGCTGAGGTTAGCGAGACGTCGCTAACGTCATCGTGTCAAAAAATGTGCAAAGTGAAAATGCTGCGAACGTTGGTGAAGCAGCGACTGAACGTGGCCGTCGAGGAGATTATCGAACTGTTTGAGAGAACCATAGCGGAGTACGAGGAGCAACTTCGTCGAAGCAAAGACGGGAACGAGCTACGACGATGGGACGATGTTTCCAAGCCTCATGTTCTGTTGCTAAAAGCAGGTTTGTTTACTTCTTTGTCCTCAACGTTTTAACATCTGCAAGGAAATTTCCTCAAACGAACACTCGTAACAAGGTCTCTACAAGTGCCCCGTTATGTTCATCGTTGTTGTTTTAACAATAAGTCTTGTTTAAAGGTGAGACTGTTGATGATTAACCGCACAAATGCTTAGTTTAAAAAGGGCCGCCATATTGGATGCGACCAATCGCGTTTCAAGATCTCGCGAGGTCTCAACTCCTCGAACTACAGTACAGTATTTACATATTGTCATCATATACGCCAATTATTAGTGCAATGTTTATATGAATTGGATCAGTTGTTGCCCTATTTTTGTCCCTGGATTTCTTAAAATCAAGACATGCTCACTGCTGTGCTTTTTCTTTGTATAATGCAGATGTGCAGCAGGTGGAACGTCAAGAAGAGGTTCTTTCTCAAAAGCGGGAAGAGCCAGCAAAGCCCGCCCACATTAAAGAGGAAGAGGAGGATGTGTGGAGCAGTCAGGCCGCGGAGAAGCTCCCAGGGCCGAAGGAGGCTGAGGTTACAGAGTTCACATGGACCGGCATCCACGTTAAGAGTGAAAATGATGAAGGTCAGTCCTCGCAGCTTCCTCACATTCCAAGTGAGGAGGTGTCGAGTCAACACATGGCAATAAAGGGTGCTGGAGAACACAGGACTCCACTCTCGGATATGGACGACATGATGTCACACTCATCCGACACGGATCACAGCAATGACGACAAAGAACCTTTGAAGACGAAAAAGAAATCAAAGGGACCGCATCACAGCGACGGCAAACACTTTGACTGCTCCGAATGTGGGAAAACATTTACCAACAAAAGCGTTTTGAAAAACCACATGGTAACGCACACCGGGGAGAAACCTTTCATCTGCACAGTTTGTGATAAAAGATTCTCCTTGAAGCATCACATGAAGAGACACATGAGTGTGCACGAGGGGGAGAAAGCCTTTTTCCCCTGCTCCGTTTGCGATAAAAGATTCCGAGACGAGGCCGCCATGAAGGAGCACGTGAGAACTCACGCTACGGAGAAAGCTTTGACGTCCAGCAGCACAAGTCAAAACATAGCAGAAGTAGACGACGACGACGCGCCGCTCTCAGATATGGACTACGTGTTGTCGCAGTCTTCCGAGACCGATCACAGCGAAGACGCCAAAGAACCTCTGAAAATGAAAAAGAAGTCTGACGGCGATCTGACTTATCACGCTGAAACCAAACTGTACATTTGCTCCGGGTGTGGCAAAACGTTTACCAACAAAAGCGTTTTACGAAATCACATGGTGACGCACACTGGAGAGAAACCTTTCGCTTGCTCGGTTTGCGACAAAAGATTCTCCTTCAAGCAGAATATGAGGAGACACATGGCCATACACACGGGGGAGAAACCCCATTCCTGCGGCTTTTGCGACAAACGATTCTACGATAAGTTTGAAATGAAGAGACACATGCTGACGCACACATCCGAGAAGCCTTTCACGTGTTCCGTCTGCGCCAAAAGTTTCTCCCGCAGCTCGCATTTTCGAATGCACATGAAAAGACATGTGTCGGAGAAACCTTCCACCTCCAGCAGCTCAAGTCAACACGTGCCGACGGAAGCGGACGGAGAACCCGGCGAAGATCTCCGCTCGCAAGCGAACAACTTCGCCCCACTGTCGGATATGGAAGACATGATGTCACAATCGTCCGACGCCGACCACAGCGACGACCCCAAAGAACCATCGGAGACTCTAAAGAATTCCGAAGGTGACGTGGCGCATCCCGCCGACAGCAAACAATTTAACTGTTCTATATGTGATAAAACGGTCGCCAACAAAGGAAGTTTGAAAACTCACATGCTAACGCACACCGGAGAGAAACCTTTCGCCTGCCCCATATGCGCTAAGCGATTCTCCATCAAGCAGAACATGAAGAGACACATGGCCATTCACACTGGGGAGAAACCGTACTCTTGCTCCGTTTGCGCTAAAAGATTCTACGTGGAGTTTGAAATGAAACGACACAAGCGGATACACACGTCCGAGAAACCTTTCATGTGTTCTCTTTGCGGCAAAAGCTTCTCGTGTAGCAATTACCTCACGCTGCACCTGAGCACGCACACGTCGGAGAAGCCGTTCGCGTGTGCGGTGTGCGCTAAAAACTTCTCTCATAAATCCTATCTCAGACAACACATGAGAATACATGCGACGGAGAAGCCCTTCACGTGTTCCGTTTGCTCGAAAGGATTCTCCAGTCGCTCGTATCTCAGAATACACATGAGCCTGCACACGGGAGAGAAAATTTTCAGGTGCTCGTTCTGCGACAAAAGTTATTCCCGTCGATCGCAGTTCAGAAAGCACATGAGGACGCACGCCGGGGAGAAGTCGTTCACCTGTTCGGTTTGTGCAAACAGATTCATAGATTTAGAGTGCCTCATCGTGCACATGAGAAAGCATGCGGAGGAGAATCCTTTGGCTTCCAGCAGCTCGAGTCAACTCATGACGGCAGAAGCCGATGGCGAACCGGCAGACAATTTTGCGCCACTCTCAGATTTGGACGACGACATGTCACAATCGTCCGACACGGAGCACAGTGACCAAGCCGAAGAACCTTTGGAGACAATTAAGGACTCTTGAGAGCGATAACACACATCGCCTTGGCAACAGTGGCGATATGTCCGAAGCGTACGCACATCCGCAGACTAAATGACTAATTGTATGAAGTAGGGCTGAACGCTTTCAAAAAATAATCCAGTTGTGATTTGTTTTTCCCCTCCTCAAAATTGCGATTTAATTTACGATTATTTATTGCCCGGGCAACATTGAATTTTTGAACATTCACAAGCAATAAATTAATCTTCATCCATCCATAGCGATAGACTTATTATACATCAATGTTTTGGTCTCATAAGTGAGCCTTACGCTCAAATAACGGCAAATGAACAATGAATTACTGTAATATGAAAAACAGTTTAGCTATCAACTATTAAAGCTGTTAAATTACGGTTGTCTTTTCAGCACTCACCACGGCAACATCACAAAGTTGTACTAAGCTACTGTGCTGAGAAACCGCACTGACACGACCTTGACTGAAGTCCGCTAAGTGTATCGCTACCCCCACCAGGTATTCCGTTTGAATTGAAAATGCGCCGTATTTCTCATTGAATGGAAATTGTTTATGTATTGATTGTTGGCTTAAGATCAAATAAAAAGTACTTGCTTAAAAAAACTTTTAACCTTCCTCTTTTTCATTTCCTGTTGGGATTGTGCGACCTACGTGTCAATGACCAAAATATTTTGTCTGAAATGTACCATGCATGGTTTTAAGGCACACACTGGAATTTCCTGAGATCTGTGATTGTATCTTTGGTTTACATGCATCCTCCGTGAACGAAAGAAAAAAACCCACAGTGGTCACAGAAACTTGAATCTGACAAAAGTAGCTCTAAATGTTTAAGGCCTGGACAAAAATGGTGGATTCGATTGGAAAGATTGTAAATATAATTTGATGTTCAACATGGCACAGTATTGCATATAACTGAAAACGTTTAAAGGTTTAATTTGTAATTTAAATGAGAGTCTTGACTTGGCATGAAAATCCATGAAATAGCACCGTTCATACTCCAGCACAGCAGGTGGCGGTAATGCACCTTGAATAGCAGATGCGGCCTGTCAAAAAACAAGAAGTAAAAAAAAAAAATTTAAAAAAAAAACAGCTAAGGAAGCAGAAGGAGCTCGTGCAGGCCGAGGTTAGCAATTTCTAGCGCGATTATTGCGTGGACATCTGTAAAGTCAAAATGTTGAAAGAATTAATGAAGGAGCGACTGAACCAGGCCGCCGAAGAAATATTTGAAATATTTGAGAGAACTATCGCAGATTACGAAGAGAAACTGTATCGAAAGAAGGAGGAGAACGAACGACGAGAACACGAACTAGTCGCCACCGTTGCCGACCTTCGCGTTCGACTACACAAAGGTTTGATTTTTTTTTTACAAGCGGTCATCTTGTCAACCTGATAATGAGTTATGGAAGACAAAAATTAAGAATGGGTGCGGGACGAAAGAATGAGAGTGTACGAGAGAGTTTCTTGGCCTTCGAAGGTGAAGGTTCGTTCCCCTTCGTTCCCGGGCCTAATTTGTGCTTATTTGCTGGGGCGCTGTCTGCTAAGTAGGGTTCACCAACCTTTTTGAAACGGGACACTTTATTTCTTGGGTACCCATTAATGCGACCTTAGGTATGTTAGCAACATTTCAAAAATATTTACGCATTTCCCTGAACAATCACGAACTAAGCTTTACGGTGACATCATTATCACTTTAGGATAGTAAATGGTTGATGGTTATTCATTTTTAATTTTGTAAAAGGGGGGGGGGACATTTGTCAAGAATTTTCAAGGGGTATCCCTGTCACTCAATGAAAAACATGATCAGATACATGAATAATAATAAACTACATTTATGCAAAGCCACTAATCTCGAAGTAATTCGGAAACCGCTAAATATCAACTTCCAACGCTTTATGTCAATAAATCACTGACAGTGTTTACATTTGGGCACAGTGTCCTATCAGCGGTGAGCTATTTTTTTTTAGAACAAGCTCATGTGGTCCTTGAGGGCGACCATGTTGGTGACCCCCGGTTGAAAGAAATGCTGTGAAAAGGTCAATGATAATTTCGGTGGGCTAAACTAAAAATATTGAATGTTTAAAAAAAAACTGTTAATTGACAGTGCTGTAATATGTATGGAATTTAAAGCCGAGGTCACCAAATGTTTGGGGAAGAAAAACAAGTGTCTTGATGCAACACACATATGTTGCCATATCATTTGAGCCTACTCCTATCTACGACTTTGTAGTTGAGCGGGAGGAAAGAAAAAAAAACTCACGGCGCTCCTTTTGGTCTTGTTTAGTTTACTTCCCCAATAAAATCGACTGAAGTTTTAATCGTGTTTGCCTTCCCTTGTGTGGTGCAGCCGTGCAGCAACAGAGTCGCCAAGAGGCTTCCTCTGAGCAGCGGCGGGAGCCGTGCATCAAAAAGGAAGCGGAGGACGTGTGGGGCGGTCAGGACGCGGAGAAGCTTCCCGAGCTATGGCAGCACACCCCCCCACGTGGGGAGAGCCAACCCAAAGCGGATGGTCCTCACTGTGAAGATCTCCAATCGGAACCGGACAGCCTCTTTGCTCCGTTGTCAGATGTAGATGACATAACGTCACACTCCTCTGGCACCGCTCACAGTGATGACGAGCGAGGGACTCGTAAGGACCGCGAAGGTAATACGACTCATCGCAATGACGACGAGGATTTTCGGTGCTCTCGATGTGAGAAAACGTTTTACAGCCAAAAAGGTTTGAGAAATCACATGGTAGCGCACACGGGAGACGAACCTCTCGCTTGCTCCGATAAAAGATACTCCTTGAAGCATTTTGCGAAGAGAGACAGTGAAAAGCGTGGCGAAGGATCACCAACGGAACCTTCGGAGACAAATAAGAACGCCGAAGGTCGCAAGACGGACGGCGGCGTCAACCAAAGCGGGTTGGAGACGCACACGAGAGACAAACCCTTTGCTTGCCTGGTTTGTCATAAAAGATTCTTCTTGAAGCATCACGTGAAGCAACACATGAGGAGAAAACATAAAAGGGAGGAAGCGCTGGCAACGGGAGCTGACACTGAAAGATCATCGCAAGCGCAGCAATCGGATCCCAACCGCACCCCGGAACCTTCGGAGAACGCCAAGAGCTCCGACGCCAGCAGCCATCAATGCCTTCAGTGTGACAAAAAGTGTCCCTCCAACGCTTATTTGGTGGCACACATGGTCATACATACTGGGGAGAAACCTTTTACTTGCTCGGTTTGCGGGCAAAGTTTCTCCTTCAAGCAGAATATGCTGAGACACGAGAAGCAACACTTTGGCCAGAAACCTTTTCAGTGCTCAGTTTGTAGTCGGAGGTTCTCGAATCGAGGGCTGCTGCTATCTCACTTGAGCTCGCACGTGGGCGAGGGGGCTTTGCGATCCAGCGACCCGAGTCAACGAGAGGTCGGTGACGACGTGCCCTCCGAAGCGGACACGGATGACGTGACGATGAACTCTTCAGACGCCTGTTACAGCGACGACGGCGAAGAAGCTTTGAGGACTAGAAAGAAGTTTAAAGGTGATTTGACATGCGGCAATACCCGTGGGAACCGATAGGGGGCGTGCATCTCGCCATACGGAGCGAATTTGAGCGGGAAACAATCGATGAGTATGTTGACTGATTTGATAATCGCCGACTTGTCAATTTATCAATTGTTGCGCCTCTAAAACACACGCGCGTATATTTAACCGATGGGGTGCGATAAGATTCAAGAACTTAATTTCAGTGGAATGATTCCGTTTGAGTCAATGCGCCCGCGCTGTTTTTAAATCCAAGCCGATTTTGCGATTGAAATTCATTACACCTCGAGCAAACCTTTTAAATGCTCACCGCACGTTAAATTGTGGTTAAGCTCCTCGTTTATTTGTGCGTATGTTGTTTTATTTTAAATGTTAATGATAATTTATTCAACCGATTATCTCATGAAATAAAAATGTTACACGCCTATTTAAAGTTGTTCAAAAATAAACTCTACAAATTATCTCGTGAGTTCAATTAAAAATAATAAACATTTAATATGTTGGCGGAACAGAAGGTTGAATTTATGTAAAAAGATGACGGACTTGTGATCATGTAACTGCTCGGTGGGCCAGATACAAAAAAAAAAACTTTTTTTTTTTTAATTCTGTGACATTTTATTCTTGGCATTTAACATCCTGCATTGGAATTCCAACATTTGTGACGGAAAGGTCGATGCGCAGGAGCCGCACAAAAACAGTGCCGCCAATTTTAGCCCGTTCACTCTCTTTTCTGTTGCGTCAAATGTGTTGCATCCGTGATTTTCATGGACGACCTTCAAAGAAGTCAAAAGGGCAAAGTGGTGATGAGAGAGACCACTCCACCAGATTATTATTTATTTTTTTTTTTCTAACTATTGTATATAGTCCCCTTCAAATGTTATGGAACAGCAAGGGCAATTTCCTTTGTTTTTGTTGTACACTGAAAGACTCTTTGGGGTTCGTGATCAAAAGATGAATATGCGACTAAAGTTGAGAATTGCAGTGTTGACTTCGTGGCATTGACATTGAGATGTTGTTCAACAACTCAGAAGAGTGCGCATTCTGTCTTCAGAAGAAAGCTGCATCGTCATAGTAGAGATATAGAATGACCTGAAGGGCCGGATTTGGCCCGCGGGCCTTGGGTTCGACACCTGTGTGAGACGCCCATGAACCTTATATGCATTTTTTTTTTTTAAATGATGTGGAACCATGCAATTCCCCTGAGCAGCGGCGGGAGCCGTGCATCAAAAAGGAAGCGGAGGACGTGTGGGGCGGTCAGGACGCGGAGAAGCTTCCCGAGCTATGGCAGCACACCCCCCCACGTGGGGAGAGCCAACCCAAAGCGGATGGTCCTCACTGTGAAGATCTCCAATCGGAACCGGACAGCCTCTTTGCTCCGTTGTCAGATGTAGATGACATAACGTCACACTCCTCTGGCACCGCTCACAGTGATGACGAGCGAGGGACTCGTAAGGACCGCGAAGGTAATACGACTCATCGCAATGACGACGAGGATTTTCGGTGCTCTCGATGTGAGAAAACGTTTTACAGCCAAAAAGGTTTGAGAAATCACATGGTAGCGCACACGGGAGACGAACCTCTCGCTTGCTCCGATAAAAGATACTCCTTGAAGCATTTTGCGAAGAGAGACAGTGAAAAGCGTGGCGAAGGATCACCAACGGAACCTTCGGAGACAAATAAGAACGCCGAAGGTCGCAAGACGGACGGCGGCGTCAACCAAAGCGGGTTGGAGACGCACACGAGAGACAAACCCTTTGCTTGCCTGGTTTGTCATAAAAGATTCTTCTTGAAGCATCACGTGAAGCAACACATGAGGAGAAAACATAAAAGGGAGGAAGCGCTGGCAACGGGAGCTGACACTGAAAGATCATCGCAAGCGCAGCAATCGGATCCCAACCGCACCCCGGAACCTTCGGAGAACGCCAAGAGCTCCGACGCCAGCAGCCATCAATGCCTTCAGTGTGACAAAAAGTGTCCCTCCAACGCTTATTTGGTGGCACACATGGTCATACATACTGGGGAGAAACCTTTTACTTGCTCGGTTTGCGGGCAAAGTTTCTCCTTCAAGCAGAATATGCTGAGACACGAGAAGCAACACTTTGGCCAGAAACCTTTTCAGTGCTCAGTTTGTAGTCGGAGGTTCTCGAATCGAGGGCTGCTGCTATCTCACTTGAGCTCGCACGTGGGCGAGGGGGCTTTGCGATCCAGCGACCCGAGTCAACGAGAGGTCGGTGACGACGTGCCCTCCGAAGCGGACACGGATGACGTGACGATGAACTCTTCAGACGCCTGTTACAGCGACGACGGCGAAGAAGCTTTGAGGACTAGAAAGAAGTTTAAAGGTGATTTGACATGCGGCAATACCCGTGGGAACCGATAGGGGGCGTGCATCTCGCCATACGGAGCGAATTTGAGCGGGAAACAATCGATGAGTATGTTGACTGATTTGATAATCGCCGACTTGTCAATTTATCAATTGTTGCGCCTCTAAAACACACGCGCGTATATTTAACCGATGGGGTGCGATAAGATTCAAGAACTTAATTTCAGTGGAATGATTCCGTTTGAGTCAATGCGCCCGCGCTGTTTTTAAATCCAAGCCGATTTTGCGATTGAAATTCATTACACCTAAGTTTAAAGGTGATTTGACATGCGGCAATACCCGCGGGAACCGATAGGGGGCGTGCATTTCGCCATACGGAGCGAATTTGAGCGGGACACAATCAATGATACTCATTGACTAATTTGATAATGGCCGACATGTCAATTTATCAATTGTTGCGCCTCTAAAACACACACGCATATATTTAGCAGATGGGGTGCAATAAGATTCAGGAACTTAATTTCAGTGGAATGATTCCGTTTGAGTCGATGGGTCTGCGCCGTTTTTAAATCCAAGCCGATTTTGCGATTGCAATTCGTTACACCTCGAGCAAACCTTTTAAATGCTCACCGCACGTTAAATTGTGGTTAAGCTCCTCGTTTATTTGTGCGTATGTTGTTTTATTTTAAATGTTAATGATAATTTATTCAACCGATTATCTCATGAAATAAAAATGTTACACGCCTATTTAAAGTTGTTCAAAAATAAACTCTACAAATTATCTCGTGAGTTCAATTAAAAATAATAAACATTTAATATGTTGGCGGAACAGAAGGTTGAATTTATGTAAAAAGATGACGGACTTGTGATCATGAAACTGCTCGGTGGGCCAGATACAAAAAAAAAAACTTTTTTTTTTTTTTAATTCTGTGACATTTTATTCTTGGCATTTAACATCCTGCATTGGAATTCCAACATTTGTGACGGAAAGGTCGATGCGCAGGAGCCGCACAAAAACAGTGCCGCCAATTTTAGCCCGTTCACTCTCTTTTCTGTTGCGTCAAATGTGTTGCATCCGTGATTTTCATGGACGACCTTCAAAGAAGTCAAAAGGGCAAAGTGGTGATGAGAGAGACCACTCCACCAGATTATTATTTATTTATTTTTTCTAACTATTGTATATAGTCCCCTTCAAATGTTATGGAACAGCAAGGGCAATTTCCTTTGTTTTTGTTGTACACTGAAAGACTCTTTGGGGTTCGTGATCAAAAGATGAATATGCGACTAAAGTTGAGAATTGCAGTGTTGACTTCGTGGCATTGACATTGAGATGTTGTTCAACAACTCAGAAGAGTGCGCATTCTGTCTTCAGAAGAAAGCTGCATCGTCATAGTAGAGATATAGAATGACCTGAAGGGCCGGATTTGGCCCGCGGGCCTTGGGTTCGACACCTGTGTGAGACGCCCATGAACCTTATATGCATTTTTTTTTTTTAAATGATGTGGAACCATGCAAACATGGGGGCTTAGTTTCTTTCACGGAATTTGTTCTCGTGAAACCGATGCTGTTTGCTCATCATATTTTGCTCTCCTTAGATGGCGCAGACACGCAGCAGGCGTTGGTGGCAAAACTGGAAGAGCCCCCCGACATGACCGCAGCACTGCACAGCAGTTGGGATGGAGAGCGGCTTCAAGGGGGGAGGATGGCGGCCGAGGCTCCAGGATCAGACATGGATGATACCTCAGATTCCGAAAGGGAGAAAGCTTTCGCTTCCTCATTGAGTGGTGAAAGATTCTCCTTTAAGGCACACGAAGCTAGCGGCTCTGCTTGTGTGAAAAGTTCCCAGACTAGAGCCACGCCGGACTCGGACCTCAGACGACATGCCGAAAACCCAACGGAAGACTCTTTGAACACCGACAAGAACAGACAGTGCTGTGAATGCAAGAAAACGTTTGCGACGAGGGGCGGTTTGAAAAGACACATGGCGCAGCACACGGGAGAGAAACCTTACCTCTGCCCGTTCTGTGACAAAAGATTCAGTTTGAAGGAATATTTGAGCAGGCACACGATGATACACACCGGCTGGAATTGTCCGGTTTGTGGTCACAGTTTTCTCAAAAGATCGGATTTCACAAGGCACATGACAACGCACGCGGTCGAGAAATTTGCGCGGTCAGAGAACGCAATGCACACCGTCGAGAATCCTGCACGGTCAGAGAGCGCAACGCACGCCATCGAGAATCCCGCGCGGTCAGAGAGCGCAACGCACGCAGTTGAGAATCCTGCGCGCTCAGAGAGCGCAACGCACGCCATCGAGAATCCTGCGCGGTCAGAGAACGTCACGCACGCAATCGAGAAACCTGTCCGCTCAAACAAACGTGTGAAAAAACGCAGCAAGAAACAGATTAGGTGTCCAATTTGTGCAAAAAGTTTTATGGACAAATCGTACATCCCAAAGCATATGAGAATACACACCGGGGAAAAACCTTTCCAGTGCAGCTTGTGTCTTAAAAGATTCTGTTTTAAGTACAGGATTAAAAATCACAAATGCTCCGGGGACAACAAAAACACGAATGAAGAAGCAGGACGGCCCAACGCTAATGAAGTGACTATGTAACAAGCTCACAGTTTGTCTACTTTAGGTAGAAAAAAAAAAGCTATCAAGCATTTTCAACTTACTTTCTATGAAAATGTTCTTCTGGCACTTACATTGCTCATCGTTGCTCACCAAACATACCACCACCCGCACTCTCCATTACCTAAGCCTCAACTATTGGTTGATCTTCTGAAACAAATAAGAAATCTCACCTAACTTCACCCTAATGTCATTTTTTAAAAAATAACTGTGGGATACTGTACATTAGGGGATGGACAGCATTATTTTTACTTATACGTAAGTAAAAATATATCGAATAGGTTGTCCTTGGTGGTAGTTGGCGCTTTCCTGCAGCAGTTTGACACACCCGCGAACCATCGTTTGCTTCCGAAAGTAAGGTCTTTGTTCACAATTTGTCGTCATTGTGTTAAAGGATATTTTACATATCTAATGTACTAAATGTGTCGGCGCTCTGTATTGGCGCGTACTCAAGACTGAATATTTGTTCTCATATTGATCTAAAAAACAAAAACAAATATCCCCTACTGTCCACGATTGCTGCTCCTGTTTTTTTTATTGAACCTTTTATTCATCATGTGCTATGACGTCATGCGTTATGTGTCTGTATCAACTGTACGGTTTGAGTATGTTTATTTTGCTTTATCTTAGTTTTGTCGTTAGCAGCCAGGTCGCCAATCGGAAATGCTGTCAGTCGCCTTACCTGGATATGTAAAGATTAAATAAATGACCTTGAGAGGTCCTCTGTTTATGCTCACTTGACTGTTTTTCATTTGTTTGTTTATGGCCTTATTCATGCCAGTAACTGAAATCTTGCCTTTCCTACTGCGTTAGCATAGGTTAGTAATAGCGGTGCACCAATTTGGGTTACCACGGACCAAAAAAGAAAATACAAATGGAAAAAAATGACCAAAAATGTAGAAAAAAAGGAGACTAATATAGCATAAAAGATGGTCTGGTGAAAATCAGATACTATTTGTCAAAAGAACAAGACGACTAATAGCAAAAAAAAAATGGCCGAAACAAACATTTTAGACGAATAAGGCAAAAGTATAAAACCTGACAGCAACCAGGGAACGTTCCAGACACAAACCTGACATATATACGCGTTATATATAAAAATCACCGATGAATGGTAATAAGCACGACTCTCCACAGGATGGCAGCAGTGTACCGTGGTGGGTCTTAGCTACTGCAAAACAGCGAGTGAAGAAGAAATACGTGTCTTTGTGTTGCTCACTTAGCGTCACGCTCGTCCAATAAGTGATAAAGAAAAAATAGCCGCACCGCCTGAATATTGAGATAATTCTCGCCAAAGCCAACTCCCCATCCATTTCTGAACCGCTTTCGTCGCGAGTGTGCCGAGTTAGAGTTGTTGAAATTAGCTTGGGAGCGGCAAACGAATCGACAACGTGAGCAAGGGAGGCGTTCACATTTGCACGATTTTGTGTCAACAGGTGTAAAGTCACAATGCTGAGAGAGGTAATGAAGGAGCGACTAAACGTTGCCATGCAGGCAATATATGAACTTTTTGAAACAACAATATTAGAGTATGAAGAAGAACTTCGTCGAACAAAAGTGGAGAAAGAGCGAAAAAGCGAGCAACTACCGGAGGCCATTTTGGAGTCTCGTAGTTTCCACAAAGGTTTGTTGACTTGTTTCTACTCATTTTAAGGAATTAGGAGGCTTTCGGTGATTCGTAAATTGACTACCCAATTCGCGAGATAAGGTGCGCATTTTTTTCCCTTCCTTGTTATCTTAGGGGCCCCGTAGAAATCAACGTGCAAAAATGTTGATTATTGCTTTCCAAAAAGATTTTTTAAAATTTGGCTTTGCATGCAGGAATAAGAAATCAGATAGTATTTACTGTTGAGAAGCTGAAATGGCAAAGACAATTTTAAATTTAAAACGGTGTCTAAATGATTACTCGAATATCAAAAATAATTATTTAGTTGATTAATTTTTGCACCTCTAAAACACCCGATTGCTGCAGCCCAATATGCTGCTGGTTTTGTATGACATTTTACATTATTTTTCTACTTTTGTCATTTTGATTACTTGCATTAACATCTGTCTCAAAAGAGAGCATAGGTTTTCACTTTTCCAAACCTGTCTGTATTCCCTCGCAGATGTGCAGCAGGTGTTGGTGAAGAGTCCAGAAGTTGTTCCCTCTGAATGGCAGCAGCGGGAAGAGAAGTGCCTCCAGATCAAAAGCCCCACTAAAATAGAAGAAGAGAACATTCAGAGCTGTCAGGATTGGGAGCAGCTTCCACCCCACAAGATGGTGAACGTTGGGATCAACACAATCTCTTTGACTGATGTCCATTTGAAGAGTGAAGAGGACAAAGGTCTGTCCTCACAGTTTCAGCACACTCAAAGTGTGGAAGAGAAGTCAAGTCACGCTGAAGCGGATGGCGAGCATTGCGAAGAATCTGACAAAATTGCTCCGCTACCAGTCGTGGACGCCATGTTTTTTCCCAAGATCGATGCCCCCACAGTATCTCTGGCAAACTCCGAATGTTACGCGCCGCATCCCGCAAACAGCAAACCTTTGAGCTTCTCTCAGTGCGACGAAGCGTTTGGCAAAATGAGAAGCCTGCGACCACACGTGAGGACGGGCCAGAATCCTGCCGGCACGCACTTAAGCTGCCCCTTTTGTGAGAAAACCTTCAACTTCAAGGCCAACCTGACCAGACACGTGAACATTCACACGGGCGTCAAGCCATTCGTGTGCGCCTTGTGCGGCAACGCGTTTGCTCAAAGCTGCCATCTGAAGAGACACATGGGCACGCACACAAGCAACAAGCGGGTCGCCAGGCAATACAAGAAAACCACCCCAGTGAGTGTGGTCAGTGCAGTCAATTCTTGCAAGCCGGCTATTCCTTGTTTGTTTTGCGCCAAAGGGTTCACAAAAAAAGCCTATCTGGAGAGACACATGAGGACCCACACAGGTGAGAGGCCCTTCAGCTGCGACGTGTGCAACAAACGCTTCAATCGCAAAGACTACCTCAGACATCACGCGTGTATTAGAGACAAGAACTAAATGGACACTAGCATTTAATTTTTTTAAAAATTTTTTTTTAGACTAAAGTCAAACCTCGGTTTTCGACCAATTCGGTTTTCAACCAAAAATTTCAAGTTTTTTATGCCTCAGATGACGAACAAATTTCGGTTCTCGAACAAACTGAGTGCACTTGAATTCACCACTTGACTCCTCTCGGCTTCCTTACACGAGGGAGTGACGTTTCCTCGGGTAGGTGAGGAAGTGATGCTTCCTCGTGTCGCTTTCCATTGTGAGCAGACGTGTTCAATAAACATTTTTTTTCAGAGCGTGGTTTCGATTTTCGAACAATTTCGGTTTTCGAACAGCCTTCTGAAACGGATTATGGACGAAAACCGAGGTTTGACGGTATATGGCCACGCCCTTCCGTTGTATTGACTCAGCCAAATTGATTGTTTCTGCCCCCTCTCTCTCCGGGGGAAAATTGATCGCAATCTTCACAAAATTGAGAGAAACCGAAAATTTTGCAAAGCAACGCAAGCCCTGTCATGAAAGCAAATTCATCCATGGCAATATTTGAGTTCGATACGAACTGCGGGTCTCAAGGCCTCCGCCCAGAGAGTGTCACGACACAACTGGGCATCCAACACCACGGATATCACATTATTTAAAACTGCAGCTCTAAAATTACCTTTGTTGACATATTTGGATGAACATCCCCCCGCCCCATTGAACATTGTTTTATTTTTAAGCAAAATATCAAAAATTTGCTCGAGTTTGATCAGAAATCAGGGCTAGTCACGTGTTTTAAATTTTTTTGTTGAAGTAATATGACTTGATGTGGCATTTCTTCAAATAAACGACTCCCTCAAGTAGATGTCTTTTTTTATGCACAGCAGTATGAAAATATGCAAAAACGAATTTGCACTTAACAATACACTTGTATTTATTCCATACTGATGAAATATTGCAGGTGGAGTATATATAAAAAAACGTTTATTTCGTATTGAGTTTCATATTCGCGGAATTGTGCTATAGGTGTCCCATTTTTGCTGAAATATCGCGCACGCAAAATAATTTAATGTAAAACAAAAAGTACTCCTCGAGAGGACAGTAAAAAGTTGCGCAACAGGAGCTTTTTTTTTCCCCCCTGTCGCGAACGCGCAAATAGGTGTTGGTTTACGTGCGCGCCCCCGTCCGCGGTGACGTCAGCTGCCAGAGCCTGTCTCAAACGTTGTGACGTGTGTTGTGGAAATGGCCGAGGAGCGACGAGCCCGCAAGACAATGTTAAGCTTCTTAACTCCGCCAAACAATTACCGTGGGTGAACGACGTCTCTCCGGCGGACACGAAAGGCGTCGCGGACGGGGCGGGAGTTCCAAGGAACCGACGAGCAACTCGAGCCGCCCCGGACCAGCGCCTTTTCTTCCCCCGGGGAGGGCGGGGGGCGCTGAGTGAGGGTTAGCGAGGGAACCACCATGGAGGACATCAACTCGAACATTAACGCCGACTTGGAGGTGAGGAAGCTCCAGGATTTGGTGAAGCAGCTCGAGAAGCAGAACGAGCAGCTCCGGGGTCGCTCCATGATGATGTCGGCCCACCACAGACCCCACAGCGCCGGCTACGAGTCCTTATCGTCGCCGTCGGCAGCGGCGCTGCTCTCGGGGGGCGACATGGTCGGCTTCGCCCCTGGGGTGGGGTTCGGCTACGGCGACCTGTTGGAGAACCGCCGCTGCCGGAGCCCGCGGCTCTCCTACGACGGCGTCAGCTTCAAGAGGCCGTACGAGAGCGAGGGCGCCTCGGCTGCCACGTCCGGGTCGGCCCGGAACTCGCGGTGCTCGGACGATGACGGCGAGACGTCCATTCTGGACCAGGTGGACGTCTTGGACTTGGAGGACATGGACTGTCTGCACGAAGACGACGACAGCTGGTGAGTGGGGGATGACAGCTGCCGGGTGGTGGCGGTCCGCGAACGCGCCATGGGCCCGAAGCCCCACAAACGCAACCGACACTATTGTGATCTGAAACCTGTTGTATGTGGCTCAAGACTAGATCGGGAGTGTTCGAACTTTTTCTTCCGAGGGTTCCATACAGAAAAGTGGAAAGATGCCAGGGTACTTTGAGATTTTTAAACTTTTTTTTTTTTTTTAATCAAGCAGGCTAAAAGCAATAATCAAGCAAGTGTTTACGGTTGTGGATTTACTTGATGTGAGTGCACGAAACTGAACAAAATCAAATTGTTCCACTTTTTAAAAATCTACCCATCATGAATCGAATCCTGCCCCATGTTATCGAATCGTGTTTTATTGCAGAGAGGCGCACTCCTAATATGCAACAATGGAAAAAAAAAATTATGCGACCGCCATATTTTTGTCAATTTCTTGATGATTATGTCTGGTGACACTAAAAGTATATCAGGTGACTAATTGCCACAAAAGAAAACATGGAATGCCTAAAACCTCTGGAAAATGTCTTAATCGTTCATATATTGGTCCCCCCAAAAAAATGTACCTTTCGTTGTACGAGGCATTTAAAATAAACAGAGAACTAAAGAAATAAGGGTGGTGTGACATTTTTTTTTCTCATGGCTGCATATACAGTAGATTGTGTAGCTATGAACCTCAATTTAATGGAATCGGATTTAACGACTTTCGAATTTCACAGACAGAAAATAGCATCCAGTTGAAATGCCCTATCGTGCAGTAGCTGTTAAAAGTCTGTTAGTTCCGGAATTGTCTGCTGCTGTTTACTGGCGCCGTGGCACAATCAAGAGACTGATGCGCGCATTTTTTTGGGTTGCCGCTCACAGATATACAGTACGGGCTAGAAAATTGTATTGTTTGTTGAAACATTTTGCTCTGCAATGTTTACTTCCAACCAGAACCATCTGCCGAACTACGCAAAAGTACCGGTACTGAAAATACATCGTGTTGTTCGATTTTTGACAGCAAAGTATCAATGTACTTTTCTCATATTCATTCACCGGGCAAAAGTCAAGACGAACGTAAAGTACAACAAACTGAAAATGACTTCTCCTTTCTCAATCCATGGGAATGATAATTACGTAACTGTCCGTCTCTTAAAGAAACCCCCAAAAAATGAAGAGCTGGCCAGCCAAAGCAAAAACTGACACGGTACCGAAAAACTGTCATGAGCTGACGGCCGCACACACGCAGACAAAAATACGAACGCAACACAAAGTGACTTGTTGAATGAGAATCACAGCTGGGTTACACGTGCACGTTGCGGCTCATTCCAGCAGTGCAGCACTTTTTTTTTTCTGCCCGGCAGCCATGGTTACATTCCTACTCAGAATTCCCCGCAGCCAAACAAACACAAGTCAGCCGCTGTAGGTGGAGCTCCAGAACAGAACTGGCAACCAAAAATGTAATTTGATGACGCTTGAAGAGCAGATTTAAAGCAGGGTTATTCCCAAAAGTAAATCCATACAAACGGGGGGCAATTTATATAAATTCACCTTTGTGAGAGACCAGGATTTATTTTGTTGTTGTTGGTTCACTTCTCCCATATGTCTAATGTACACTTTTTAAAGTATTCCTTAGTATCTTGTCGTCATTCTTTCACTGTCAAGAAATGCGAGACTATCACATAACATCACTTGGAGGAAAAAGAAAGCTCACTCGTACGTTTTTTTTTCCTAAGTTGCAAAGCGTGCTCGCTTACTGTAAAACTGAGATATAAAACAAAATAGAATTCAACGATGGATATTTAAAAAACACGTCCGGCTGAACCAATTAGAATAGAATAGAAAAGAATAACGCAGTGATTCGCAACTGGTGTGCCGAGGCCACGTTGACGCGCTGTGGGAAATGATCACATTTCACCTAATTGATCAGAAAATTATTTATTCATGACAAATGATGTATCGGTGGTCATCTATCCATGCCAGCAATTTATAGTGACAGGCAGAACAAATAAATTGTCTTCTATTCGATAGCAGAAAGTAGATACAGTATAATTGACGGATGATTATGGATTGCGACTTCCCCGTTTTCGGGAATGTAACTTCAGGAATGTTGACGGACATGTTTCCCGTCGATCGCATCACAGGATGTTTACATTATTTGGGAGATCCGAAGTGGATCGGCGCAGTCTGTTTTGTTTTTGCGTCTGATCCGATGGCGATCAGAGATTAAACCGGCTGCTGCCATCCACTCCCTGTAATCTGGGAATCAGATGGATTCTGGATCATCCCTTTAACTTCCGCAAAGTGGGGAAGGTTGCAAAGGAAACGGAAAAAAAAAAAAATCTCGATTTGTCAGTTTTATGTTTTATATTCAACTTCAACTGGGAGTGACAAAAGAACCGCTTTGCATTTTATTTGCAAAACTGTCCACATGGAATTGTTTAATTTTCCTCCAAGTTACGGAAAAGAATCCTATAAATGTGTGTTTAAATAAGAATAACATTGATTTTTTTTGGGGGGGGGCGCGGTAGAGTTTTTTTGGACATCCATCCCTCCATTTTCCGATCCGCTTATCCTCACAAGGGTCGCTGGAGCCTATCCCAGCCGTCTTCGGGCAGTAGGCGGAGGGACACCCTGAACCGGTCGCCAGCCAATCGCAGGGTACACAGAGATGAACAACCATCTGCGCTCACACTCACACCGAGGGACAATTTGGAGTGTTCAATCAGCCTGCCATGCATGTTCTTGGAATGTGGGAGGAAACCGGAGTACCCGGAGAAAACCCACACAGGCACAGGGAGAACATGCAAAGTCCACACAGGGAGGCTGGAGCTGGAATCAAACCCTGCACCTCTGCACTGTGAGGCAGACGTGCTAACCAGTCGACCACCGGGCCGCCGCTCTTATATTAAATCTTAAATGTTCTGTCCACCGAGTACTTTTTCCGCTGATCATAATCCGACTTGCACGGAAGACATGCCAAAGCCAGATTGTTTCCACGCTCGACTCGGTATTCAACCCACTTTTGGTGTGATGTTGTATTTTCAGGCTGTACGAGGCCAAGCTAAACAGTCCCTTGCAGAAGGCGCTGAGCCCCGTCGTGTGGTGCCGCCAGGCTCTGGACAACCCGAGTCCGGACATGGAACTGGCCAAGCGCTCGCTCATCCACAGGCTGGACCTCACCATGTCGGGTAAGCCGCCAAGTATTTTCAATTTGTACTGCTTCTACTCTCGACGCTTCACATCCAATGTGATGACTGCACGCTTTGACCGCCGCTAAATATAGTGCGCCCCCATCGACGAGGGGGGGGGCTTGGAGACTTCTCACGTCCTCGTGGCTAAACTGAGAGTTTCCATTTTGACAGCGGTATGCGGTCATGTGACGCTCTTGCTGAAAGTTGGACAGTGGTCAAGGTTGTCGTTTTGCTTTGTGTTGTGAGGCGAAATTGTCGTCGCGAGCGAGCCTTAGATATGCTGTCACTTGAGGGTGGGGGTTGGGGGGGCGGTTGTCGTCATGCTCTTATATCCGTCAAGGAAAGCCGATCGAAAGGCTTAAACACAAATAAAATATGAGAATGATCGCACGGAGCGTCTCTCGGCTCCCAGAACTCGACTCCAGCTCCCGATGTTAGTCACTAGGCCACGCCCCTCAAAGGTACACACCCTTATACTTCATCTTTTTCCGAGAGCACAAAAGCAACATATTTCCAATGCAGTTGAGTATGATCCGATCACGGCCCCAAAACTTGAATTGTTGCGTCTCGTTCCGTGCGATGCGTTCAACGCAGCGCGGTTTTTGCAGTTTCTTATTTTGAAGTGTCATCTAAGTTGTCCGAAATGAGACTTCGCAAGACAAAACCCGGGGGATGACCGCAGAGTGCAAACCCGGTCCGCTGACGGATGACTAAGAGGACGAGCAAATCTCAAGTGAGCTCATCCTTGTAGGTGTGGAAGTCGGATCACGTCACCCCTCCGGCAGACCCACCCCGTCGCGTCGCCGCCGACTCCACAAAACGCACACGCACGGACTTACACGTTCCCTTCACACGCGCTCGCTTAAACAGACGCCTGGAAACGCCGTTGCCATGGAGTGGTTGTTAGCCACGGAAATGTGGCGTCTGCAGGGAAGACGAGAGATGGGAGCTGTTTGGTTTACACTCGCGCGCACACACACACACACACACACACACACACACACACACACACACACACACACACACACACACACACACGAAGCCAGTTGTTCATCTGCCGGCAGGCATTAGTCACATCCCAACAGGGAGGAGACGTGTTTGAGATAATTGTGAGGCCTCGCGAGCGTGAGTGACTCGATACTTTTCTTTTCGCTCCCCGCCTCCCTTGCCTGGTTAAAAATCGCCGTCTGTAACGCACACATAAATATGTACGAAACACCACACGCATGAATTTCTATATATATACTGTATAAATATCAGCTAAGTAGGAGCGCCTCAGCCACGAACCACCACGCCGGCCTTTGTTGTGCGGCGAATTGTGTAACTTGACAGCACGAGGAGTGCTGAAGCCAAGCTCCTCTGCATCCTCCTCGGCGTGAAATCCCCCTCAGGGTTCTCTCGTCCCGGTGTGGCGTGACCATGCTAACAGCGAGGCGCTCTCAGCCCGAAGCGATCGCGGCTGATTACGAAAAGTTCGGGGACAGCTCCTCGGTTCCCATGAGGACGTCCGTCACATTTAAAAGCCGTATCCCTGTGGGACCATACAGCGGACCTGTTTCCTGCGTGGAGATATTTTGAATCATGACTTAGACAAAAAAAATATCTCAGTGCCATGTTTGCAGCGCTGCATGGCGGATGCGTGCTGATGGCTAAATAACAAAGTGGGAGTGGGGAAGAGGGGTGGGTGACGCCAGCAAGAGCAGAGAACTAATTTGACTCCTTTCTCGCTGCGAGAGAATCCACATGAGCCCCGTTTCACACGGAGACCCCGCAAAGTTACAACGCAACTCATTTTGAGGCCACAGACTCATTTGAGCGAAAACCCGAGTAGGATTTTTGTCAAAATAGCAACCTTGGCATTCATCCACAAAGGAGAAAAATTACCGTAATTTCTGGACTATAGACCGCACCTGATTATAAGCCGCACCACTACATTTTTAAAGAAAAAAAATATTTTGTACACACATAAGCCGCACCTGTCTATAAGCCGCAGGTGCCCATATTGTAACATGAGATATTTACAAAGGAAGACGGTACACAGGCGGCCGTTAGAAAAGTCTTTATATGAGCCGCTTCATGAAATAAGCCGCAGAGTTGAAAGCGTGTGACACTAAGGTACTGTTCAAGTTTGGGTTATTTTGGGCGTGGGACCTTGAGATTTTTATTTTTATTCAAACATTCTCCGGGGTGCCACTGAGTGAATTTTAAGAAAAATCAGCTGCAGGAAATGATCTCTCTGGAACGTGTGTTTGCAAGGACAAGAACAGGACGTGCCCGTGGAGTCTGGAAGCAGGACCTTAGGACACGAGAGCTCACACTGGCCTCCATTGTGCCCTCGCTTGAAAGCTCTCTATTGACTTCTGCGCGCCATACGCTTTAATACACCCCCGCGGCAGACTGCCGAGCGACTGTGGGCCGACACTGTTAAGCGTTGTTGCGGTCCCTCGGACTTGAATGGCCTCCACTTGCCATAAGATGTTGGAATGTGTCTGTGGAATTCGGTCCATTTGGAAGTTCGGGGCCGTTTTATGTACTGCGAACCCTCGGGAGACGATATCGTGTTAACATCGCTTCGAGGAAACAAACCAAAAAAAAAAAAAACTCATTCACGCAGTTCTCTGGGTCAAAAGGCAAAGTGTGCTTGGTTTACAATCCGCTGTATAGCCATTAAAATTCCGATGTATTTGTGTGTGTGTGTGTGTGTGTGTGTGTGTGTGTGTGTGTGTGTGTGTCTGTGTGTATATGCTTGCAGCCAACAAGCGCCGCAGCCTCTACGGGAGCTGCTACAACCAGCAGGCGACCTACGGGAGCCCGTACAGCCCAAACGCGGCGAGCAGCCCCTACAGCAGCGGCTTCAACTCGCCGTGCTCCACGCCCAGCAAGGTGCCCATCGTCAGGCAGCAGCTGATGCCCGTCAACGCAGGTACCAACGCCGGACCAAAGCGCCGCCTTGTTTGTGGTTTGGATTGAGGTGTTATGTGGTTGGGAAAGACCACCCGCCCGCGCTGTTCCACAAAGGAGGCGGCAAAGGGAACGAGTCTTCTCTTTATGGAGCTGAAAAATTGTCTATGCATTACTGATGTACTAACACGGACCCATAGCTGGACTTGAGTCTCGAATCTCGCTTAGAACTCCCTATTTTGAAATCCTAATCATTTCTTGAAACCTTACTTTGAAGCCCTAACTTGAAATCTGAACCCTGGCCGTCAACTCGTTTTGAAACTGACTTTAAAACCCCAACCCTTGCTTGAAACCCTGATCTTGGAACTTGACTTTGAAGCCCTTCCTTGAAACCCTCTCCGAAACCCTAAAACAGCCCCAAAAACCTTGAAACCCGAACCTTGTCTTAAAAACCTATTTTCAAACCCTAATCCTGTCGACATACCTGACTTTGAAACTCTCAGCCTACCATGAACATCGCGTTTGAAACCCAAACCCCGGCTAGAAACCCAATTTCGAAACATACTTCAAAACCGCAATCCTGTCTTGAAACCTTACTTTGTAACTTTCCAAGCAACCCCAACGCTTATCTTGAAAGACTATTTTGGCCCTTGTGTGATACGCCAATAACGGAAGCCACGAGGAGGAAGCCCCAAACGTAACAGAAGTGAAATCTTACAACACAATTAAAGCCAAGACGCATTTCCTCCGCAGCGCACCAGCGCAACGCGGCGGCGGCGGAGCGAAACCCGCCGGCCGTCAGCCCCCAGTCGTCGGTGGACAGCGAGCTGAGCACCTCCGAGATGGACGAAGACTCGGTGGGCTCTTCCACGACTTACAAGCTCAACAACGTCAACGACGTCCAGATTCTGGCGCGCATGCAGGAAGAGAGTAAGTGGCGCTTGCTGTCTGCTGCGACTCAAATAACCTGACAGATCGAAATTTGCGAGAGGTCCGTATGGGTAACCGCACGTGTGTGTGTGTGTGTCCGCCGTCAGGTCTGAGGCAGGACTACGCCGCCTCGGCCTCCCGGCGCAGCTCGGGCTCGTCCTGCCACTCGCTGCGTCGCAGCACCTTCAGCGACCAGGAGCTGGACGCGCACAGCCTGGAGGACGAGGAGGAGGCGGTGCACCCGGCCTGCTCGCGCTCCCCGGCCCGCTCGGTGGACTACGGCCACGGGCGCGGCTCGCCTCAGCCCGCCATCAGCCGCCTGCAGCAGCCGCGCCACTCGCTGCAGGGCCACGACGCGCAGACCAACGTGGTCAAGAACGAAGGTGGGTGGGGTTCCTCATTGGTCGACAACCGTTTTTGTTTTTTTTTGTTTTTTTACACGACGAAAATCCCATATCCCAAAGATAAGCTGTTGTGAGGGCAACTTTGTGCCCCTGTGTGGCCCAGTACCGCTTGGGGAACGCTTGGCGACAACAAACATGCCTGAAAGTCGTCGTCTTCTCCTTCTTACGCAGAAAAGCTGCGTCGTAGTCTCCCCAACCTCACGCGTTCCAACGCGGCGCCCCCGCAGGGCCCCGAGCCCGTTAAAAACAGTCGAAGCTGCGAGTCCAACCTGCAGATGCCAAACGGAGGATCTCCCAGACACCAGAGCCAATCAGCTCGTGAGTACCAGCACACACACACACTCAGTGCCTGCACGTTTGTGTTAACTCTTTCCTGGCAAACTTTCTTTTTTGAAATATTTTACAGCAGCATTGTATTGCGGGAGGAACCGAGTTCTCGTTGTGGCTCAAGTGTAAAAAGAAGTTAACCTCCTTTAATAGTCAAGTGTGGAAACACAATGCGTGTGGTGACTGCGTCGTGTGAGCCCACTCACCTTACGAAATTGCAGTTGCAGCTGTCTCTTCTTTTGGATCAAAAAAACAAAAAACGCTGTTCCGTCCTCACATTGTAGTCCTTGTAGGGTTCATGCTTTGGCCACCTGGGGGCAATATAACAAACACATCAAGACTTTTACAACAGACTCGATAAGCTTCAGTCAGTCTTATTTTTTATTTTTTGCAGAGGATAAGGAATATATGCCAGTGAGTTTTGTTATATTGTCTGGCCACAGTAGGACGATCAAACATTTGTTTGAGAAATGTAGTTTACTTTATGACACAATACCTTGTGGCTTTTTTTGATTTTACACGACAAATATTCCATATATTAAAAAACACAAATACATAAACTAGTAAAAACTAAAATGAAGCTTTAAAAAAAAAAAAACGTCCCTAAAAAGCGAATTACAACCTACAAAAAAAAGTCAAAATAAAATAAAAACTAACATAACAAACAATCTCAAACTATTCGCACCCCGATACGGAGTTGAAAATAAGCGAATGATTGCCAACACAGCCATCAACATTATAACATCTGTCAATCCCCACAAAATATCTAAAACTCAAAGCGCTGGTAAACGATGCCACGCTTCACCAGCCTTGGGCTCTCGTTTTTTTTTTGTTTTTTTTTCCCTCCGCACACACGTCAGGAAATCCTCCAGTCTCTTTATCAATGAGTTTTTTTTTTAATGTACTTGCTCAGATTAGAGGATCCCCTCACAAGAGCCTCGGCAATCCATTTGATGTAATCCTTAAACGTGGGATGAAGTTAACGGTATTCCTCTTAATCCCGGAGCTCTTAATCCTTCTTTCTGGTCCAAGTGGCACAGCGCAGGGGTCCGAGGGCAAGCTGCCATTTACATGCTTCGAACCTGTCGGGATTAACCCCCCCCCCCCATTTTTAAAAACAATCTTTATCGGAATCCTTCCTTTGGAAAGCCGATTCGGCACTTCTTTCATATCCTTGACATCCTTTTTAAGATCCATGTACTGCTTTTGTTCTCTTTAGTAAAACAATTCAGTGCACCGGAAGAACACATTTGTCGTTGCTTTGGTATCCACAATAGAGATACCTGGCTGTTTTGTTTTGTTATCCACAATAGAGATACCGGGCTGGAATCAACATGCCTCTAACATGTTGAAATAATTGACAACAAAAAATTTCGATTGGTAGCCCACAGTTGCTTGCCAGCTATGCAAGTCTATCCCGAAATGTAATAAATGCAGACTGATCTGAAAAGGCACGCGGTAATGCTCGCCGACAAACAGCCTTAAATCCTCTTTGTCAGCTGTCAGCCGATTCACCAAACGACCTCCCGGATCGCTGGAAAGACAGACGATATAGATTGTGGTGTTTCAAAACAAAGACTAGCGGCGCTCTACCAATATCCTCTTTTAGTGTGAAGATTCATCTTTAAAAAAAACAAAAACATCCACCTCGCATTTCCCTCAACCATCAGCCTCATTCAGCACAAACATGCTCACAATCCTCTTCACCCTTCA